CCTACACCTGAGAATGAAAACAGATTCAGTTTTCAAAATGTGTTTTTTAGAATACTAGATGATGGACAAAGTCCAGAAACTCAGTAACCCAGATTGTAATACACCATTGTCAGAATCCTTTAGAATGAATTTGTGGATGTTTGTTATTTGCTCCCACAAAGTCATTTTTATGTAATTTGTTTACAGGAGCAGCTGCCCCAGTTATGGCAACATTTCTCTGACAAAGGTGTGGAGTCACACATGTTTGCATCTCAGTGGTTCCTCACATTATTCACAGCCCGATTTCCCCTTTATTTTGTTTTTCACATCATTGATGTTTTCCTTCTTCAGGGTGTGGATACATTGTTCCAAGTTGCTCTAGCATTACTTATGGTAAGTTTATACTTTTAAAACAATATGGGCATCCAGAATGAAGTTGTTACATATGGCACCCAAAAATACGGTTGAAAGGAAAGTCAAATAGCCCATTTAAACAAATAAATACAAAAGAAGGTCTCTCTTTACTTTAAAAATATAAGTTAAACTGAGAGAATGACATCATATAGCCCTGGGGTTCTCAGCCAGAGGCTTGTCAGTGTGTTCTGTGCAGAACATGTTCTTTTTTGTAATATTGCATTGTCCTGTATGATGAGAGAGTAGTTATTGCCCAAGTTTAGTATTTAATTTTAAGTGAATTGTTAACAAAAATAACAACTTTATAAATTTGTAAGATAATTAAGTACTGTGTGAAACTGTTTGCCAACTGAAGATGACTGCCTTCTGGGTTGTTGCACCATGTAATCTGGTAGAAGTTTCCCAGCATTTTAGAAATCCTTGCTGACTCCATCTTCAGGGCAATGATGGCAGCAGTAAGGACCTCTGAAACGTTGGTAAACTTCTGATACACTTTAAAGAGTGAAGTTTAGAGGTTTGTAATAAAAGATGGTGATTAACTCATGCATAATTGGACAGCAACATCAGTTCTATTCCAGAATAACCTATAGGTTCTGCCTCACTAATTAAAATAAGATTGTTTTGATGTACTCCTTGAAGTATACTGGCATTCCAGAGGTGTTCATCACACTACATCATGTAGATCATTATTGCATTAATGTAAACAAGTCATTGTTGCTTAACCATGTTCTCTTAGGTCATTTGTGCACAAATGTTGCAATCAGGTTGTTTAAAGCACAGGTGTATCCAAGCATGGTAGCCAAGGCAGGGAAGAGGTGACCCCTGGAATAAAATACCTGGAGCCAGGCTGTGATGAAGCAAATATCGTGGGAAAGGGTCTACGTTGTACAGCCCCAGGTGTTAAATAAACAATCCTGGTTGGTATTAGGTGTGGTGTGCCCAGGGGTGCAATCACCATAACTGGCACAGACTTCTGTCTTGTTAAAACATGTTTCTAAGCAGCTTTATATGAACTTCTGGCTAATACAGGGTTTGTGTTGTGTCGTCATGGATTTGTTTGACTGACTGCAAATCCATTTTGTGTGAGTTTAATTCTTGATGTTATGGAGACTGAAGCCGAAGTAATAAAGTTCTACCCCTGTAACAGATGTGCAAGAAGGAGCTACTATTATTGGACTTCGAAAGCATCCTTAAATATTTCCGTGTGACTCTCCCAAAGAAGTGTCGTACTGAAGAAGTGGCCCGGCAGCTCATGAAGCTTGCAACAAGTCTTAAGGTTAAGAAATTGAAGAAATATGAACAAGACTTTATTACTCTTAAAGGTATGTAGAATTAATGATTTTTTAGTTTTATAGAAATTAATAAATCTGGTAAGCTAGATTTGTGTTATGTAGAGTAAGCTGTAACCAGACAAGCCTTTGGCATATTTCATGGAACTAAGGTTCTAGCAAAAGTGCATATTGGTCTCTAAATGGTTGTTCATGTTTTTAAGGGTGTATGGGGATTTTTTATCAAGGAGTTGAAGATTGCTTATTTCTTAGATTTTACCTTAAAGAAACTGGTTTTTATGGTGTGGATTGGATTGAACTGGCTTACATCTTAGATCTTTTTGTTTCTCTTATTGAATTTTATAGTTATAATACCACAGATATATTTCATTTTGGCAGTAATTTTAATACATTGAATTGGTTCTTATTGGCAGTTCTTTATCAGCATGTTGTCATTTGTTCTCTTTCTTCTCCTTGCCTCTCTAATTCTTCTTTCTTTTCATTTAAAATTTTCATAATGCTGTATGTGTATAGAAGAGCATGTGAAATTTGTCATGTCATATGAACTTACTTTCTTATTTCTAAAGAGGTCCAGGACAATGCTGACCAGTACAGGAATGAGCTTGATCAACTTAAATCAACGCTGCTAAGAACTGAGGAAGAGAAGAAGAGATTAGAAGATGAAGTGACTCAGGTTACAGTCTTTGTTTTGTTAGCATTAAATTGTTTCTGAGGTGTACTTAATAATATAAATCGTCATAACAGGTCATTATATTGGTTGCAGGTGAAGGAAATGCTGAAGAGGGAAGTACAGAAAGCTGAAAATGAAAGCAACCGCAACACAGCAATTATTACTGAATATAAGCAGGTAAAATTCCCAAAGAATATTAAGTAAAATATGAAATGGATAACAGGAGTTCAGGTAATACGTCAGAGAACAATAATGGAAAATTTTAGCTAGCACTTCAAGTTGTAAATAATAAAAAAAAAGATATCTTTATTTACCTTTTGATTTTTCAGTCCTTTTACCATTGATATGATCTATTACTTAAATTTTGAATGAGTATGTAATGAATAGTGTTGTCTCTGTTTAATTCAGTAAAAATAAATTACTGAAATCAAAATTAAAATTAATTATCTATATTTTCAGCAAAAATAGATTACAGAAATAAAAATCAAAGTAAATTAAGTATGTAACTATGTATTTTATCCAGTGACAGAGAAACAAATTACACCATCGTTCTGTTACATTGAAGGTAAAAATATATTGTTTCAAAGTTATTCGCACTGCATACATTTTATACTAATATTTTCACATTATATGAGTTAATAATACAAATAGACATTTCTAATTACAGATTTGCCAACGGCTTGATGATGAACAGGTTGCAGCAAAAGCAGCCTTGAACGATCTCAGAGTAAGTACTGTATGAGGTGTACGTGTTAACCCTTTATTTGGAATTCTCTTCCTGGCATGAGAATTTATATGAAATGTTCTGGTAAAAGTATAAATGAATTAAATTTTAGGTAATATGACCCAAAGTTTGTGTTATGTATGAAATATTGCTTATAAAACAGTAATGGTGCAAACTTCAAGGTTTCATCTTACAAACTTAATGTAGTTTTAACTCTGAACATTTTCACAACCACCACCAACAATAACAAGAACATTAATAACAGCAGGAGTAATAATAACAGAAGTAACAACATCAGTAATGTATAATATATTCATGATTTCAAACAGTGAAAGAAATGCTCAGTCAAAAAGGATATATTTCTGTGTTCATCTGATTAGAAGTTCAGCACTTGAAACCATCAGCTAAATTACGGTCTGTCATTGTTCTTTTGGGTTGATACCATTGTTTTGAAGAAACATACTTGATCTGAGGCTTTCACGGTGACTAATGAATTCTTCTTGGGCTACCAGCCAACATGGCTGGTAGCCCGAGAAGAATTCCTTATAAGAAACATGCTGTCTACAGAAAAACATTGACATCTTCACCACTGTGAGAACCTCAAATTTCAATTTGTTGTTAGTTTATATAATTACATTACCTAAATATAGCATTTACAAACAGTATTTATAGGGCAGGAAGTCTGTAATATGAAAATATGCACAGTGAATTCTTCCAAGAGCTGACTGTGAGTTATAAGGTGTTCCCATAAGAGGAATATTAAATTTGTTGTATAGAGATAGTTGTGATTCTTGATATGGAATGTAATAAAGTAGAATGCCATCTTTTCATTTTGTTCCCCAACAATTTCTGCTTATTTTAAAAATAAATAATGTATAAGCAGTTGAACGCTTTTTATAGTTTATTTTATCCTTGTACTTTTAGAGTCAGGTGGTGGGCTGTGACCATTGTCGAACATTACTGGGAGATGAGAATATTACAGAAAATGGAGGAGAACAAGATATCCCAACCAACAAGACTAGCGATCCCCAACTGATACGAGCTCAGGAGCGCATCCGAGAACTAGAACTTGAACTGGCACAGACAAAACTTGCACATGTGGAGGCTGAGTGCCGTAATCAGGTTTGAGTCCCTCAACCTCATGATTCTAAGTTATTTTATTATCTAATAGAAAGATTTTCATCAAGAATTTTATACATTGTGAGTGCCTGATTGTGTTTTACTGAATAATTTATGAAGTTAACCAGGATTATAATAGGAGAACACAGAGATTCATAATTACTAATACTAAAGCTTGCCATTGGACACATACCTGAGGCAGTTCCATCCACCTTTACTCATAACATATCTCTGTAAGATCTGCCTATAATTAATTGTATATGAACACAGTTCAGGTCAGAAGAACCATGCAATAGAATATTCTCCAAATAACAACCCAGTAAAATAGTAATTAATATTCTTCCAGGGGAATGAGCCTGATGTGCATTGTTGCATTAGTTTCTTTTGATTGTGACAGGATTTGGTACATCAGCTGCATTCCACTGTGGCAGAGTTGCAGACTGCACGTAATTCATGGCCTCCATGGTTGCATAAGACATTGAGTTCTATTAAAGAAGTAGCTAACAAAAAGGAGCTGACTGGAGGAGGACCCTTAGCAACCATGGCCAGACGGGATGTAGTTTCAGGAGGTGGCCCTGTAGTTGTAGTCCGACGTGACTCAGCACCAGGCCTGTCCAGGGATTCTGCTAGTCGAGAAAGTCTGCGTGACATGTAGACGGTCCATGTTACATCTCTGATAACTCATCGGTCATTAGGTTCTTCCATTTTGGAATGAATAATGATGAGTTTATCATAAAATATACTTCAAACAAATGTCTTATGGCACATTCCTCAAATGTTGTCTGACTGTATTAGGTGTTATGACATTACCTTGTAATTTGGATAACATTTTTAGCAGTTAAGTTTTTGGAGGTAGAATGGTCAAGCAACTTCTAAAAAAGGAGAATAATTAATATTCTCTTTCAAGAATATTATGAGTTCAACTGCAAATTGTGGTAAAATTCTTCAAAATAACACAGGGTACCATCCTGCCCCATCTTAATGCAGGATTGCATTGATGTGCATTGGTCATCATCTACAGTATGAACCTCCAGCAGTGTACTGCAGTTTTGTAATGGAAAATGTTAAAATAATTTATTTCTGACCATTTCTGTTTAAACAAAACTCCAATGAAATTACTTGTTCACCTGTAGTAGGCAGCAGCATTTAAAAGGACAGACACAAGGCAATGTCATGAAGCCATCTTCACTAAAATGGGGTAGTCCATCAATCACATAATACAATGTACGAACAAAGAAAAGACAATTAGAGCTAATGAATATATGTATGTGTGTCTTAAGAAACAGTATATTTATAAGAAGGTCACATGATATCTTTGCATAGTTAATGTTTCTGTATGAATCTAATAAGATCACTGACAAAGATCTACGAGTATGTGTGGATATAGTATGAATGTAAACGTTTTCTCTACCATATGTGTATGGTACTTCATGGTTTCTATTTCATATCTAAGTTAGACATTAATAATTTCATCTTTGAATTGCACATTATATCATTAGTTTAAAATATTCAGTTGCAATGAAATATTAATATTTTTCAACTACAGTAATGTGCCATTAGTAGTCTTATGATGTGTTGTGGCATAGAATCATCTGTTGCCAACAGCCAGTGAGTGTATTTCTGTGATGAGTTGCTAATGACAAACCTCCACATAAGTTTATATTAGGACAAAATTCTGATAAAGAAAACCATAAGAAGATAAAATTATTGTAATATGCAAGAAAAGGAGATTATGTATGTTACAACTGAAATATTTCTATTTGGATTAAAGCTGCAGTAATTGTGTTACAATCTGTATCTTTTTAAGTCAGTGCATATCATTCATACTTAGACATTTATGTCATAATTTGTGGCCGCACTTTACCCCCCGGAAAGGACCCCATACCCATTGGACAGGAGGCTGGGTGGGCCCCAGAGCCAGTCTGGACGCAGAGGCTAGAGGAAAAACCCTTGCCCCAGTCGGGGATCGAACCCCAGTCGCCCAGCCTGTAGCTAGTCACTATACCAATTGAGCTATCCCGGCTCATGATAATTACGTACTTGTGCAATAAAAATATTCATGAAGTACTATTAACTTTACTATCTTGCAGGAAGTATTTAAATAAGTACTATGCTGCTTCAAAATGTATTCTGCCCAATGAAAGATCCATTCTGTAACAAATTCAAGTTTCCTACTCATGGAACTCTTCTATATAAAAAGCTGTTGTAATTACTTCATTGGTGAGATTTGAGGTTTTCCGACCCTTTAACCTACATGCATCTTTCCTCTATACTATCCTCTCTCTACAGGTTTATGCATCCTTCCTTTCCCTTCAAAAGTGGTTTACCTTCTCCATGCTTTTCATATTCCTAATTTTGTAGGTAGTTCATTCAGAATATTATGGAGACAGTTCTTCAGTCAGTGCATTGTGTTTTAGTATACAGATTCATAAAAGAAGAACTTGATGTTAAGATTTAGCATCTTGTTCAGTTTGAGACACATAATCACAGGCTTTGCTGAAAATGTTAAGAAATTCTCCACATTTTTGTTCATGTGTGTACAATGTGTGATCAGTAACAATTGCGCTACATGCCTACTACAAGCAGTGTGATGGTGTCCACTCAAAATTTGTGAACTCCTGGAACATGAAACAAAACATATTAATTAGTTTTATGAAATGTGGATAAATATCAAAATATACATGTCTTGGTGTCAGCATTATTTATAGCCCTACAGCCATTCAAACAGTATTCTCAGTTTTTGTTCAGGTAAAAATATCTAGTGATTTTTACTACATAAACATTTTCTTTTGGTAATAAATATCTCAGGTAATGAATTTTGCTGGCATTGACAACATTTTTTACATATTCTAATGTGAAAAAATCCAGAGAGATTTGGATTATGTGGAGGTTATGTCATTAGTCAGGGTCTTCCAATCAGTTAGGAAATTTGTCATTCAGAGCATGGTGAACTTGAAGCCTGACATGTGGTAGGGATCTGCTTTGTGAAAGAAGTGCAGTTGCATTCCCCTTTCAGTGTCATTATTGGAAAACAAAACATGGTGAGTTGTTCAATATTTCATACAGTTCCACAATTATGTCTCAAATTAAAGAGAGATTAAGTCTTGAAAACGGAAGATTTTTCCATTGACACTAAACCGAACAGAACAGAACAGTTGGAAAAGTAGGTAAGGATTAATAAGATTCAGTCCTTCATATACCAAACTCAAACATTTTCTTTTTTGACATGTGTTCAAATGACATTTTTTAATCAGGCATGCTGGTCAAATTAATTTATGCTAGAATTCTACAATAATTTTTAAATCATACCTTTGAATCTCAAATTATTAGAAGCTAATATTTTTTCCTTAACACGTAAGCTATGGTACATACATATGTTGTATCATGGGATCCTCATGTGTGAATTTATTAAATATACCGAACAGAAAATTAAGAAATAGCCAAACACTTGATTGCATGTTGGTGTTTTATTTGTATTTATTTTTTATTTAAATGTTATTTTCAGAAGTCATGGCTCCTTTCATAATATAGAGTAATTAAAATTATGTGAACTAGCTATTATAGTAATATCTATGTAGCCAAATAGTTTATTGTGCAAACTGATTATAACAACACACAAGATTTGACCTGGACTTTGTTTCCAGATTCATTTCTTTTTAGGTTCAGTTACACCTGTGTGCCTTGTTTGTTCATTTGTACACAACATACTAAATCACTGAGGGTGATTTTAATGAACTGTTGTATTAGAAGCTCATGCTATAATGTGCATGTATGAACCAAACATAATACTAATTCACACTAGGTAGTCTGGACTATCATGTTGCACAAAATCCAAGTTTCAAGTGGGAGGAATTTGTATTGCCTAATATGTAGTCTTTTATGAATCACTTTAAATTTTTCTTCATGCAGGCCTGTGTTCAGTCCCAGGTCAGTTGATGTAGGATTCATGGTCATCAGAGTAGTAGTAGCAGTAGTACCTCTGAAGCAAATTTTGCTTTAAATACTGTACTTTTCCATGGTAATCATCATCTGCCAAAGGCCTTACTCACATGTCATTGCTGCTGAGGTGTGCTATAAGCCCATGTAACATACACAATATCACAACCTTAGTTCAGTATCTGAGCTTGTAACTTGACACTGTTGATTTTTTTATAGTAATGCTCATGTGAACTTTCCTTTGTCCGGACAGTAATATGTTACCTTTAGAAATGTTTGTAAATGGTTGGGTTGGTAAAATGGATAGGTGGACAGGCAGACAAGTATATCATGTGGTGAGATTTGAGGTTCTCACAGCAACGAGTATGAAGATGGCTGTCTTCTGGGATATAGCACCATTGTAATCTGGTAGATATTGACCATCTTCTTATCTCCCTGATGATGACAGTAAGATCCTCTGAAATGTTGAAATGACAATCAGTATCCAGCAGACTACATGATGCTACATCCCAGAATATTGCAGTCCTCATATACATCACATATTTTGGTCTGCTCTCCTGCTCAGTATCTGAGTCTTTTCTCAGAATTTTAATCATTATGTTGGATCACATTCTATACTGTATGTACAGTGAATATGGTGGTTATTAATGTAGTTTAAGCTATAACATTTAGAGCCTGAACAGAAATTGGTACAGTGCTTATAATATACAGAGTTCTTTTCTCTGTAAGTGCCAGGAAGGCAAAAAGCCAAAGTACTTTGAAAACAGATGTAATTGAAGCAGTGGATTGAAAGTATAAGAGTCAAAGAATGGAAGTGCAATGGAGAATAAGTCAAGTATATGAGAGTAAATATGTAAATTAAAGGGCTCATAAAAGAAATTATACCTCACATACATAAATGTGACTGGATACTGTCTCCCTGAAATTGCCAAAATTAGCTTACTACTTTTTTGATGAATTGTGATTCCACAAATAAGCAATTGTTAATTAGATAAATACAGTAGTTTGCTGCAGAAATGAACTCTCATTAGGTTCTTTAACTCCTTAAAGCACAGTGTTTGCTATAGGTACTACTTTAGCTTCCAGTAATTCTGCATTTTGCCAGCAGAATGTATTTATGGATTTCCTATGATTCTCAGAATAGGCAGATTATTTCCTTAAACATTATTAAATTATTTTTGTGATAAATATTTTCTTTGAGGTAGAAAATGAATTTTTAATTATATTGATGAACTTAATGCTTCAGACAGTTAATACAGGAGTTCCCAGCCATTGGTGAGACAGAGTAGCTGTCAGTAAGTTTGTTGGCTATATAGTGGATGAATGGAGTTTTGTCACTGTTGACAGGGACAGGAATTTTTTTTTCTTCCACCCACTGCATCCACACTGATTCTGGGTCCACCTAAGCACCTACTCAATAGATTCAAGGTGCTCTTTCTGTGGTAGTAAAGTGTCCAGTGTGATGATGACCATTCAGCATTCTACAGTTGAGATTAAGAATGCACCAGACTTTTCCTTTACTTACCATAAACTATGATGGTGTAGTGTTTAAACAAAGGGACATCTTTTTCAGCTTTGTTGTTTATACTCGGTCTTCCTTTACTGGGGCCTTAAGTTGACCTGAACCCTGGGCTCAGTTCAGTAGGTAGTTTACAAAAGTGAGAAGAAAGAAACTCATGATTGCCTGCAGTTGGGAACAGCTGGATTTATTAACTTTCCTGCTTCATAATGGATTGGAAATATATTGCAATTATTTGTTTCATCATCATCATCTTTGGGATCATCATATACATCTTCTTCTTCTATGGCTCTCCGGTCTGTATTCCAGATTGGTCAAGGGGGAGAGGTCAGACTAAGACAGGTACCCTGGCCCTCCAGGTTGGGGTTGGTCACAAGGCTAACAACCTTGCACCGTAAAAAGGAAGATGTTTCAAAACCATCATATACATGGATCACAACAATAGGCACATTCAGTCATAAAATTATGACTTAAAACATGAACATTATGTCCATTCTTTGACACTTTCATTCCAGTTCTCAATTTGGCAGCTGTTGATTCCAAGAACAGAAACAATAATTATATTTCTGTTTAATCCATTTATTGTATAAGATAAATAACTCATGTGCAATTTTTATTACTTCAAAATATGTCATGCTTAAAAAGCTAGCCATTGTATTTTCAAGTAGATACTCTTTTCTTCAGTATAATGTATATGTATTTTGAGTTATTACAATGCAAAAACATAAATACTCAGCCATGTACTATGTAATGCTAGTCTGTATGAAGTGTACATTAAAATAAATTAAGATTCAGTACTTTACATAGAAATTAATAAGATTACAATCATAGTCAGACCTCCTAAGAGGATAAAATCAGACACATTCATACTGGGCATTGGTAGAGAGATTTATCTGAGTTACCCCAATTCCTGTAGTTTTTTTATGAACATTTATAATGGAACTTGCATATCAAGATTATTGAATGAAAAGGAAAGAAAATTTGCTGTGAGTAAGAGACTTTGTGTTACAAAATTATAGCTCATTTCAAAGCATACCAGCCATTGAATTTATACCCATAAATAATTAAGTCTTTATGCAAACCACAAAGGTTAAAAGTAAAGGTTATATGCATGGACACACAGATACATTGTCTGTGTAGGTTTTTCATTTGTTGGCGTTTAGAACTTGTGGCTGCATTCAAGTGTGCACATGCATGCACTTGCACTTTTATTTCCATCTTCCTGAAGGTACAGTGAACCATTAACTTGCAGTAACCTACTTAATTAGGAGCATCCTGCCATACAAACATTTAAAGATATATGTCAGCCTCCAAGGGCATTCAGTACATCAAGCAAATGAGGTACTTGTTTGGTATAGCAACAGTACATGCAATTCAGAAATCCTTTGTATGTACAAAATTGTGATGCCCTCTACGTCCCTATAAGAATTACAAGAATCACAGTCGTGAGCATTTTCAGAAATTAATCTGCTCGTGATTTGTTGGTGCTTCCCCACACATCTAAATTTTGCCTCATTTGAAGGATTTATTAGCTGCCTTCCGTATTTTTTTAATGGGGGTACATTTGGAAAAATGTAAACCCATTCTTGCAATACAGTAAATGCGTTATTGTAAAACGATCGCACATCCATCGTTTAAATTAAATGTATACATGCGGAACGCAGTTTGTCTGGAGCCGTTTTGTGGCAACGAATGGCATAGTGCATTCTTTCAGGGCATTAACATAATTTCTTATTATCAATGGTAGTTTTGACATTCTTTTTAAGAAGATGTTATTTCTTAAGTACAAATTTCTTCTACGCCAGAACTCACGGGCATAACCTCAAAATGCCCCTACTTGTGGCTACTACGAAATGATCTTGTACTAGCCTAGTGACGAAGATAAACACATACTTGGTCACAGATAATACCAACACAGTTATCTCTGTTGTATCTAGGTTAACCTTCTTCCTAGCGCCTAATACAGATCGTGTTCTTTATGCTATTTATATTTTCGCCAAATAAACGGACATCATAATAACACATCAGAAATGTTTTGAATTTCTTAATCGAGGTGGGAATATCTTGCACCAGCAAGGATTTGTGGTTTCATTGGCAGTGATTCCGAAGATCGATGTCTTCTGGGTTGTAGCACCGTGTAGTCTGATATATGTTTACATACGTTTCAGAGATCCATGCTACCTCTGTCATCAGACTACATGGCGCTACAACTACAAGACAGTAACGTCATAGTCGAAAATTAGACTCATATTCATATGTTGGTAACGCCATCTGTGATCTTTGATTTCTCACTTTTTTATTCTCTTCCCCCCTTCCCCCAGTATCAGTTTTCTGCCGATATAATCATTCATCCAGTTGGAACTCTGGATGTGCTCTGTTACGTTTAATTGCTGCAAGGAAGACTAGAAACAATAATGTTCCGAAGAGTTTCCATTCCGGTTGTAAGAAAATCGATTTCTTACAGTGGTAAGACAAATGCTTTATTGAACAACCTTGGTGTAATAACTTAGGAGGTAGTATGTAGGCTTACCGTAGGATGAATATGGTAAGTTTCAAGCGTCCACAGTTCCGTGATTATTATTTGCATCTCAGTTCAAAAATATTTAAAACATCCAGATACAGGGTTCTCATCTTGCGGGTTTTGGTAAAGCCAACTTTACATTGAGAAGTTCTGTAAGTTAAGGGCATTGATTCCATTTCAATTCATTTACCATAAAGCTTGCCATACTTAATTGTTTTTATAGATATTAACAACTAATAATGAGTACATGTTTACAGCTGTGACACAAGTGAGGGCTTATCATCCACCGGCCGACCACAAACCACCAACCATGGATGAACTTCCTATTCCAGAAGGATCATGGCAATCACAATATGATTCAAATCAAAGAAAATACAATCTACATTTAATTGGAGGTGTTACAATTTTGACCCTGACATTGGGATTTGTAAGTACTTATAGATTTTCTGTAGCAGTGGGAGTAAAAAAATAGTTTTTTATGAAATTTTAGCCAGTGTAGCTCATTCGGTATAGTGACTGGCTACGGACTGGGCGACCGAGGTTCGAGGATTTTTCCTCTAGCGTCTGCGTCCAGACCGGCTCTGGGGCCCACCAGCTTCCTATCCAATGGGTACCGGGGTCCTTTCTCGGGAGTAAAGCTGGCCGGGGCATGATGCTGACCACTCACCCTTATCTACTGCCAAGGTCAAGAATGAGTAGGAGCTATACCTCCACTCCCCCCAAGCGCCTACATGGCATATAGTGGGACAGCTTTACTTTACTTTTTTATGAAATTTTACAGAGGTCATTGGACATGGATGGATTCTTTGGCATGGCGTGAGCAATTTAAAAGGTGTATGAGATTTGAAGGAGCTTTATAATTTGTACCTTTTGCCTATAGTATTTTAGGTGATGGTAACAACAAGGATAAGGTAGGCAGGACACGTCACATGGAAAACGATACACACACACAGGTTTAGTTTGAAAACCCGAAGGAAAGAGACCATTTGGGAGACATAGCTATACATGGAAGTGTAATATTGAATTGGAATTTAAAGAAGTAGGGTGTGATGGTCTGAACTAGATTCATTTGCTAAAGATGAGGTGTAATTGACTTGTGCAGGTGGCAATGAGCCTTTGGATTCCATAAAATTTCTTGACCAGCTAAATGAGCATGAGAGACTTCTGCATGATCATTTGGTGAGGGGAGTGTGGAAGTAAATGTTTTATCTATTTTTACTTTATATTGAGAAACTAATTGTCAGATGGGTTATGTGTTAGGAGCTTGGAAGAATGATGTATGTTATGTATTGGTATAGGATTTGGGGACAAAAATGACATGGTTATTTTCTTACCCACAATTTGGAATACAAAGTGCAATCTGTACAGACATAAATGATGTGGCTAAATTAATAAGCAGAGGTAGTATCTTATTATCTCTCATATTTTTTTATAAATGGAGCAGTATATGGTGTTTTACAGGCTCGGTAACTCTGTATCTCATTCATCATTTATGATGCCATAAGTCACATGAAGATGGTTATTACCTAGTTTGTTTTGAAAAGAGCAGCAGTTGTAAGAGTTTTTGAGCACAAGGTGTATAAGTGGCTGATATTCACTGACAATAGTGTCAGATGTTTTCATGTGGTGACAGCTGTAAGATGCAACAAAAATTTTGAGTTTCAAAAGGTTATAAAACCAGAGCAAAGACAAACTTTGATCATTACTTTCATTCTGTATAGCGCACATTTTCATTTTTCAAAGGCATTCCACCACAAGCCACAGTACTGTTTCCATATTTCTTTTGGGATTTTAGAGCTAGAACCTGATCTGTGACATTTTCTTGCTCAATCAGAAACTGGAAAGAAAAGTTGATATAAGCATTATGATTGTGGCGCATGTATAGGTTCTGAAACACCTTGATAATTATCAGAAGCTAAGGTATTATAGTGGTTAGGTAACAGTGAACCCAATTTTCAGTGAACATGTTTTCATTTGTGATCCTGTACAAATTTACCTTACATAACAGGAATTTCAGTGCTCATTGAACACAGATTAAATTGTAGTATTATATGAATTTAAGTGTAATTAAAAGAATATTTGTTTTCAGTGAATTTAGAGTTTGCTTTCATTGCCTTGTTGGTGATGAAGTTTTGTGTTTTTATTTATGGGTACTGATTTTCACTGTAATTGTTGCTTTTGTTCTAGATTGCCCAAAGTGGTGTTATTGACTTCAACTACTCTACTCCAACACTGACAAATGAAGAAATTTCTCAAAAGTAAATGGAGAACATAAGAACACATACTTATCATGTGTGTATATGAACTTCTATTAGTATATGTATGAATAGTATGTAATAATAAAATTCCTTTAGTAAGTGTTTTAGTTGTAATTTGTTGTCTGTTTTAATAAAGTGAAAATTGGATCAGTTTGAACACTGAATTTTTCCCTATTTGGTGTGAAGAGAAACCTAAATGTGGCAGTTGATATTGAAGTCTACTAGTGTCAAACATTGACCTGGAATTAAGAAAGATTTTTCTGAAGTTATATGTTTGGAGCACAGCGCTATACAGAAGTGAAACATGGTCAGTCGGAAAGCTAGAAAGAATAAGGATAGAAGCATTTGAAATTTGGTGCTATAGACGGATGTTGAAAATTTAGTGGACTGATAAAGTACAATATGACGTGGTCTTAGGATAGGCGAAGGCAGAAGTCTAGATAAATCTTGCCAAAAGAAGAGATAAGATGGTGGGGGACATTCTGAGTCACCCAGGATTGGTTAATTTGGTAATGGAAGGAACAGTTGAAGGGAAAGAATTGTAGGGGGAGACAAAGATTGAAATATGTGATGCAGATTTTTGAGGATGTGGGCTGCAAAAAATATGTGGAAATGAAGAGATTAGCGCAAGATAGGAGAAAATGGAGGACCATATCAACCAGTCGAAAGACTCGTGACAAACAAACAAAAACACAATCATGACTAATGTGTTTAAATGTGTCTGCTACCACAGTCCATCATACACAGATCTGATGTCACAGAGTATATGTCAGTGATTAGAACACGTTATAGAATAATGTCTGTTGTGACAGGTCAGGTTCTCAAGGCTGTGAGCATGTAAACATGTGTCTTTAAGGGCGTCGCACAAACTACAGCACAGATAAGTTACTGGCGCAACGTTCCAGAAGACGGCCATCTTTCATACTTCTGTTGGTTATACCAAAGAGGATAGAATGCACTATGATTACTGTCCATCGGAACGTAAATTTTTTAATATTTGTCCTGTAAGACAAAGCTATGATAATAACCTATGTGAAAAATCAAAATGGCGAACGGAGTTTTATGGGGGTTGGTGTAGCTTGTGATTAATAACAAAGGCAAATACTAGTTGGAATAAAATCAAGTGTAAAAATTGTTATCGGAGAAATGTGGGATTATGCAATTAAATACTTGTAATAATATAAGTGAACATTACTTATGATAACTTCGGTGAGAATATTCTTTTTGACAGTCCAGTGCTTTTTTCTTTTTGATTTGCATCATGAATCTTTTAGTTCATGTTACACGTAAACTTGTTTCTGTGACCCGTTAGTAGGTTGTTAATTGCTTTCGAGTTGTTATTTTGGTCCGATTTTTTGTTAACTTGAAAAGTTTTCCAGACCGTCCTTACATAGTATTGTTTTGTCAAGTTTAGGAGTATGTACATGATCTCATTTCTGGATTTAACCTTAATGTTATTGAACATATTGTATGAGTATGCATTTTCAGTCGAAATGGATGATGGTTTGATGATGAATGCCCTGCATTGGGACATTATTGAGCTTGCTGGGCATCTTCGACAGGAAAGGCTGTTTGTGTCATCCGAACAACAACATTTACAAGGATTAAATGAGAAGGTTGGTTGCTTTTTTTTATTTTTATTCTTAGTAAGGCTTTTTGGCAACAGTATAAACAAGGTCTGTTTTATCATGCCATTGACACTGTAGCTTCCTGTATTATAGTAGTTGACTTTTAACAAGATTGAATGCTACAAGCTTAAGATTATTTTTACTTGTATAATGTAACAATTACATTTTTAACTTATGAAGGTAACTGACATTTCCCAGATACAAATTTTTTTTCAATACTAGTGAAACCAAACTTCAGATTGTTACATGAGGCATGTGAAAATCTGTCTGGTAAGATCTGCTTAAAAAAAGAGATGACTCTTCCCATGGACATCACATGCATAGCAAAATCACAACCATCTACTTTAGGTTGATGACATTTTTTATTGAGGTAACTATGTGCCTCATCTCCCTTAGAAAGTTATGTGTCCCTGAAACTGCCAGTATTGTGCAGTGACCTTTCTTGTCCCCTGCTCTAATGGTTTTTGGCCAGCCAGTAGGATAGTGTTTACTCTAGCTTGGTTTAGTTGGTTAAGAAGTGGAATAAGCCCTAATCTGATTTGCCTGTTAGAGCTTGTCAATTTGAACTTTTTCTGTGTATATAATTTAGTTTGCAAATTTCTCCAATAAGTATTTAGAATGTTATTTGTTCTGTGCATTTTATTATTTAGAACAATTAAAAGAATTGGTTCACCTGTGCTTTATTATAAATTATCTTACATCAGCTGCTTGAGCTAACAGTTTAACAGATCATTGTGTATATCTTCGGCATTTGTGAACTGCTGCATTATTTAAAGCAGTAATCACAATCATCATAGTTACACTCTGGTGGCAGCGTCCCGTATCCCTTGAGATAATCTCGTGTACCAATTGCTCATTAGCTAACCCAAATGTGCACCATTCCACTGCATCCATCTTTACCATAATTGGCAATGGTGTCCAATCATTCATATTAATATTTCAATGTAAGCAATGTTTCATTTGGATAAATTCAATAACTTAATGAGGCTATATAAATATGAAAGAGGGCTCCATATAGCGTAAGAGATGCAAGTGTGACATGGTGGTTCTGCACTAATCCAGTTTTCTTTGATTGTTTCGTTTTTGGAATACTCACATTCAGAAGTCAGGATGTGATGTGTTCAACATATGCTGTGAAAATGTGGTATTCGTGGTGCATTGACATAAAGACTAGACTGTAACACTGCTCCTGCATTTAATTGAAAGTTCAGCCATTTTGCGTTGTTCCCAATATCAAATGAATTTTTTGATAAAAAGTAATAGTATTACAAACTGTTAGGATACTCTGATGTATTTTTATTTTATGCATACCATACAAAAACTAAACTCTTGTTTATGACTTTTAGTGTTTTAATTTTAATAGTATTTTTTTGGAGCCTAAAAGTGTAGGCAGAAAGTTAAGGAAATACTGGAGAAAGCAACAAGTAATGTAGAAAGGATTTTAAAGGGGAAACTTCAAAGGCAGCAAAATGATCGATACATTTGAAACAGATATGTTGGTGGCCGTCAGTGAAGTGGGACAGTGGAAAAAGGAAAGGAAATTTAATAAAGTGAATTACTGAAGATAAAAAAATGAATTGTGTGGTGTTGTTTTTTATTTCCATGTAGATGAAATGTACCTGTACTTAAGCACCTTGCCATGAAAATATTGTAGGATTGGAAGTAAAGCTCTGCGTGTTCTTAACTTTGGCCTAATTGAGATGAATGGTCAGCTTCATGCTCTGTTCACCTTACCATAGGGAACAGATTATCTGGAACCTTACATAAGAGGAAGGGTAATTTCCAGAGCCTGTTCTGACATGGTGCCAAAGATATGAATTTCATACCTGGCCCATTTCGTCATCCAGCCAGCAGTTAGTCACTTTACAAGTGAGCTAACTTTAATTTTCATTATTTGTTGGCATTATTAAAAGTTTGTAAAATGTACACACAGGTACTTGTGAACCAAGATTCCATCTCTCTTCCTTCCTTTCCATTTTGTGTTTCTGCAAGTCTTTGGTGTTCCTTACATTCTACTACCTGCTTGTGTGGACTGTGAAGAGATGATGTAGCACTGTGCTGCTACTGAATTTGTAATCATGGCAATAGAGTGAGTACTTTGTGTTGAAACATGTGAATTGGAAATAACTTGATTCTGTATTATTTGAATTCTTTTATCTTTTTTTGTCTTCCCTCCATTGCCCTGAATAATCAAGAGTATGGTATATATAGTTCATTCCTTTTCTTATAAAGCTAGACTTTTGCTGGGACATAACTAGAGCCAATCATGATAGTAGAGTGGGAATAGATAACCTTTAGCTGAAGCCCTTAGTTGCAGCTTGGCAGCAGTATAACGCATATGTATTTTGAGGAGTTCATATCATTTTGGCATTAAATGTCTGGCCTGAACCATCTCATTCAGCTGTAAGATGTACTTGGCAATGCTTGTGAGTTTGACTGTATACCACAAGACCTGACTGGAGCTGGCCAAGAACCACAAATACAGTTGGCCCGTCCCACACTTCTCCATCATGTTGCATAGCATTCTTCTGATAAGTTTTTACACAGGCTTTATAAGAAAGGGAATCTACTATAATTCTGTGGGGCAGAACCCTTTTTGAGAAAGTGATAGTTGATCATCTAGTCAAGAATTTCCTGAGGTCTGGTGGAAGCCATATGTTCAATACTATGTCTACAAGCATCTGTCATTGTACTCTGCCCTGAAGTAGATTATTTTGTCCCATACCCTCATACTCTGTACTGATCTTCATATTATTTGCCCTTCTACAACTAGGTCACAAGTAATCTCTTCCCTTGAAGTTTTCCAACCAAGATGTTGGTGTATTTCAAATCTGTGGTGTATGCTAATGCCCTGTACATCTAATCTCTTTTTTATTTAATTCAATTCAATTAATTCAATTCAATTAATTTATTTACGTGTTTGCCAACAGCAAGAAGCCAATAACAGGCAAACACTGATAATATATACAGTATTAAATATAACTGCCAAGTACAGGCAAACCCAAAATAGAAACAATATTAACACAGAGCAAAAAATGAAGGAATATAAATAAAAACAAATAATCCACCTAGGGAACACTAATATAATTGTAAAACTTTAAAAAATATAAAAAGACAGATAACGAAGCTAGATCATTTCCCTTGTTGAGAACGTTCGCTCAAGGGAGACAATGTTTATGC